CCACCACCCACAACAACAACAACCACAACAACAACAACAAATCCATGAACCCCATGGCATTCATCAACACAATGCCAAAGTGTCCAGTCCACGGTCACAGACACACATCTCACACATCTATTTTGTCCACTCAGAACAGACACTTGCAACGGTCCACCATCACCACTGATGGTACAACTCATCTAAACATCCGAGGACAAAATAATAAATATTTGGCTGCTTTCCTCCGTGAATTTCTACTTCCGTAACCCAGGATCACAAAAAATTCTTGGCTCAAAATCCACCACACCCCTCCCCAGCCCCTTCCTCTGAGCCCATCATCCCCTCGTCCATCCACCACCAATCAAAGCACCCAATCTCTCTCATCCAAAACACAAGATGTGGAACAGACGCCACAAAGTGAGTGTTCCCCTTCCCGGCTTCCCTTGCTGTAGCTGAAGAATTGCACCCCCCCCCCCAACCCTCCATTCTCACTTGCCATCCTAATCCCCTGGTCCAGGCCTACACCTGGTCTGCGTCGTAGTAGTGGCACTCGATGTAGGAAGTGGGCACGAACCCTTCGCTTCCGTCTCCCTTCCGGACACGCGTCCAGCCGTCACCCTGGTCCTGCTCCAGGATCTGCATCTCCTCGTTCTCGCCCATCGGCACCGAGCCCTCGTTCACGGCTGGAGGGACAAATACAAAGCATAGTTATGTTGTCAGTGGGTTTGTTTTGTTTCTTTTGGGGTGTAAAATCTTCAGTTTTAGTAAAAGCTTTATGGCACTTGCAATGCAAAAAGGTCACTATAAGGACCAAAGATTGGAGGTGTCAGTATAGAGCAACATACAAGGAAAACAAAAAGGAGAGATAAGGATGATAGATGGGTTTTTTTTATAGTAGAGGGTTTTACGGCGCTCGCAACTGCACAAGGTCATATGAGCGCCAAGGGGTGGGTGTCAACAGTGAAGTCTTTACAGGGAATCAGACCTAGACTGCTCACTTCTCCAGCTTCAACAGCACCAGGTCTGCTTCGACTATCAAGGCATCCCAAAATAGCAGGTCACAAGAGAGTGACAAACATACAAAAGAAGTAAAGGAAAATGACAATAGTAAGGATCAAGATAGAAAAAGCAGCAGTTCCCTGATGTAGATCAGGCACAATTATGAGCGTGACATGAGTCAGCCCATTTACAATTCCACTATGCTTGAACGAGAAATGTTCCCCCCTTTGGGAACGGCCTAAAGACACTTCAGTCAGTGGCACTGCCCCGGGGAGTGATAGATGTTTTGATAGGACAAAAAGAGCAAACCACACCAGAGCCCTCTGCAAAACCACCCACTTATGGAGTCAGGACATTACGATAATTTCGAGTCTTTAAAAATGTTTTTCTTGTGTAAGACAAAGATGGACTAGGTCAGAGTAAAGAGAAGCACATTGATACAAGAATAGTCATTTAATGCAATGAAAAAGTGAGAAACAAGAGCAGTTGAGAAAAAAAGAAGTAGGGTCTTCCGCTGGCGTCCTCCAACAACCCTCAAGGTGAACTCAATCTCTCTGAGGAGCTGACGCATCAGCAGAAGTGTCAGAAAGTGTAACAGTGAGATGTTATTACCTCAGGACACTCCACGATTGATCTTGATATCACAGCCAGACATGAGACAACTTTTCTTTAGTTTTAGTAAGAGTTTTGCTGCACTTGCAGCACAATCAGGTCATATAAGTGCTGAAGATTACAGGCTTCACAAGAAAGTAACAAACACAAAAAAGGAGGGGAGATAAGGACGATAGATGTTTGATTGAAAAGAAGGAGCACACTACACCACAGCACCCGCCAACCCCCCCCACTGATCTGGTCATTACAGCCAGATACGATACAACAACATTACAAAGGGTGAGATAAGTTATAATACTAGATAGACAGAGAAAAGACATCAAATGATTGTCTATTACCTTGCTTACGATATAAACACAGAGCTACATTAAAAGGCAGTTGTTTTCTTTTTTGGTTAATCAGTGATATCAGCAATGGGTAAAAAGGGAGGGAATCTTGCCAATGCAGGCAAAACACATATACCAAGATTTTATCGCCATCACGGCGTCACTTTTCGCCCGATTCTGTTACTTTTAGTTCGCGTGACTCAGCAGCCCGCCGGAGCTCCCCGGCTCGGGGTCACGGGGTTAATGAACCCTGAAGCGACTTTGCCGGTGTCGGTTCGGAAGTTCGCATTTTTGACTATGTTTAAAATGATATAACTTCTTCCCCATCCCACATAGCAAACCATTACGCGAATGTACTAAAAGCTCAATGTCTTGAGATATATTCTGCGTTAGAATGGTTAATTTCTGTGCCTTAGTTTTTGTTCTAGACAAGTGTTTGTAGAGTACCCAATTTGTCCTATTTTAGTTACAAACTTATGAATAAATGATTGTTAATTTTAAAAAGGCACGACAGATCTCTCCAAAATCTGTGTTTAACTGACTACGAATATCATGTCTTTTACCATGAGAAATCTTAAATTTGCGCGAGTAGAAATAGTCAAGTTATAAGAGAAGAAAGTTGCACATCTGCATTTTTTAACTAAAGACGATCAGCGTTAGCTCTTATTTTACTATTAAACAAGAGAAAGTTACTCTGCGTTTGTTCATGAATCATGCTGTGTCTGTGGCAGCCTGCATACAACTAAAAAGATATAATATAGAATCTAAGCGATTAAAAAAACCACAAAACCGTGTAAATACATGGGTAGAGATAAACTTCTTGTATGGAATAAAAATAATGACAGCTAACACATTCATTCTTAGTTTTTGTGTCGGAAATATGCGCGGACACAATTATGAATGTAAGTCACATTGTCAGTTATTGCTAATGGTCATGATAGAAACGAAAAATAAAGCTGGAAAAGTCTGGTGCTGATTCAGTGTCCCTGGAAAGCTAGAAATTATTCTTATAACCCAATTACTAGAAGTCATCCCTATTATTCAGTCGACTTACAAAACCTAGACTTAGCGTTTTAAGAAAAGTAAGGAATTTCTGGAGTGTTACAAATGCTGTTCTTGTATTAGATCTACATTGAAGATGTATTCTAGCGCTAAAATCGATTTGTACTTTTCAGAGAAACTTCAGGATGACTTTTATAAACTTTCGAGAAAATATGTGAATATTCACGATTATATTAGACACATAAAGTTGTATTTGAAGGAATTACTTCATAGCGAATTGTGTGCACGATGGATAAAGTTGCAAAATTACAGCTTTCTATTATATGCGCAGGTACCATCTTTTCTGAGTATCTGCACCAAAGCTATGTCGTTCATGTTCCAAAAGTTCGACAGATTTTGACGAGGCCTTTTTTTTAATATTGATTTTTTTTCATTCACGCTAGTCAAACCCCCCCCCCCCCCACAATTTAGCATTGACGACTCCAGCGCGTCTAACGAAATAACCAGACAAGTTACAATGTCCGTTCTTTTTTGAGTCTCAAGAGCAGAAATGCATGCTTTGGATGCACTAAATGAGAATTACCATAAATACAAGGATCCATCTTAAATAGTACGTTGAAAGTACCAAATAGTACGTTGAAAGTACCAAAAATTAAGTCGGCCCAGACAGAGCGGCGACAGGGAGCTGACCCCCGTGACCCCGACGTGGAACCCCCCGCGGCAACTAATATTCCACTGCCGGTGCGCTGTGTCATGCATAAAAAACATGACAGCGACGAAATAACATTACCAAGAAAAGATTATCGCGAAGTTTATCACTTCAATCTCACATATAAGTTGCATAGACAAGATAGCATTACACGACAGTCTGTCTTGTTTATATCACAGGCACAACGTTACAGGAACAGTTTGTTTCCACAAAATAGCTGTTTTAGTTTTAGTAAAAGTTTTACGCACTTGCAACACGATAGGGTCATATAAGTGCCGCAGATTAGGTGTTAAAAGAGAGTAAAAGTAAAGTTGTTCCCGCATCCGATCCGGACATTGGGGATTGCCTTGTTAGAGAAACAATTTCCTGGGCCTTCAGCATATTGTGGTAGGGTGGCCAGTTCCTTTCCACGCCGCCTTTACTTCCCCAACTCAAAGTCAGGTACCCATTAATGCTGGGTGGGCTGGAGGGGGCTCGAACCCGGACTTTCCGCTTCGGAGACGAGCGTACTAACCACTCCGCCACCGCACTCGCACAAGAGAGTAAAAAACATAAAAAAGGAGGAGGAGAGATAAATACGACAGTTGATAGGAAAGAAGGAGCAAACCACACCAGAGCACCCGCCAACCACCCACCAAAATAGTTGAGCAATAGGAGATAACGTCAGTGTTAGATTGATTGTTCTTTACAATGTTATTACAGACAAAACTGATGTTGTTAAGATAGGATAGTTGGTGCCTTGTTCTCTTGTGACTGACAGATTCTATACAAAATAATGCTGTCGTGATATGGTCATTCTGAAAGTTCGTCTGTTCTTTCTACTTTTGTAAAGAAAAACATATTAGTATTGACATAAACAAATTTATAGAAAGACAGGCAAAATTGAAAGAAAGAAAGATATACTGAGAAAGACAGAAAGGAGGGAGAAAGAAAGAGAGAGAAAGATAAAAACAGCCAGAGGGAAAAGGAAAGAGTGACCAAAACACAATGACAACCTCCCACCACCACTGACAAGCTTTATTTACCTTCAAAAGGATAGAGAGCTCTGCAGTGACCAATCACAGGGAAGATGTCGAACTCGTCTTCACCGTCTTCGTCACCATCAATTGGCCTGAAGACAAATCAAAGTCAACACTTGACCAGCTCCCTCCAGCACTTACATCTTCTGTCTTAAATAAGGTAAGTTTTTAAAATTAAATTTCTTTTTTTTTTGGTGGAAAATTGTGAACAAATGAGGCTGATCCCCCCCCCCCCCTCCCTCCAAACTACCACTTGGTTGGTGTCTGCCTACTGGATACTGTACTAGATTCATCACTGGCTATGCCCAACTCAAACATGTACTTTACAGAAAAACGTTCTTCCCTCCATTCAGGCATGAATATATGTGAGGCAGCGTGGTGAAATCAGGCGCTCGTCAAAATAATGAAAGTAAACAAACTGGCACTTTTTCGCTGGTTTGCCAAATTTTTATTGAAATTTTGTTTTTTTGGCTTAACACCTTCTATGTCTATTTAAGAAACCATTTCAGTGTGAATTTTATTGAAAAACAATTAAAGGAACCAAAAACGTAAATTGTCTCTTTCCACAGACTCTGGGGCTTTGTAAATAACCAATCTTTGGATGCCATTTTCTCACTAATTTTACCTCTGAAACCAGGCGACCCCCATCTCATTCAATTGCAAATATTTCGACATATACTCAAGATAAACAGGTAAATCTTTCATCGAAAGCAAGGCAAATGAACAGCTTTACGGCAATACCAATAACTCTACAAGCCCAAAAATTGACGATCACCTGATTCCACTGTGTCCTGACACATATTACCACCATCAATTTGTTTCTTTTTTCTTGGTGTGGGGAACCTGCGACAGACTGGCGTTCCTACCAAGAGGACACTTCACATCCTTGAATCCAGGAGCCTGAGGTGTGATTGATAGGTTCAACATCTTTACAACAAAGGCACTCTATTTACAACCTGCTTTCCTGCAGGGACGTATCCTGCTCATTTTGAGCTCAAAAAGCCGAAGCACGAGGTGCTACATGACCACTGCATCCTAGTATAGTCCACTGAAAGACTGTTCCTCTGTTTTTTATTTCAAACCCCTGACAGTCAACCTGTCAACTATCATTTATGCCTTATGGTCATTACACCTTAGAAAATCACTTCAAATAAAGCAAAGCCAAAAAAAAAACAAAAAAACAAAAAAAAAAAAACAAAAAAACAACCAAACTAAACAAAACCAAAAACTAACCCCCTCCCCCAAAAGACAAAGAACTCTTGATTTCTCCCCTCACAGCACCGACCGACAGAGCGGTGTTTGGCGGCCATCACTTACTGGTAGACATTATGCTGAACTTGTGGCGTGCCCGGGGCCGACACCTGCTGTGTGTGCTGGGTGTCCCCACTGCCGGACGTGCTCAACGATCGACTGTCTTCTGAGGCGCTGTGTCGCCGAGAAACTTTGCCCTCAGCCTCCGCCATGTAACCCTGGGAGAGACAAGGTGAACAAATTGTCAACCTTTCGCACCTTTTTAAAGTTTTAGTAGAGGTTTTACGGCGCTCGCAACTGCATAAGGTCATATGAGCACCAGAAGATTAGAGGAGTTACAAGAGAAAAACAAACTTAAAAAAGGAAAAAGGGGACATAAGGACGATAGATGTTTGATAACTCTGGGATGGATCCTGAAGAAGGGGGGGGAGTGCAGAGATGGACATGTTCCGACAGCAGTGACCTCAACACAGTGGACAAGTAAAACGTTTGAAAGGAAAGAAGAAGCAAACCACACCAAAGCACTCGCCAACCACCCACATGTTTTGCACCCCCATCCAAGAAATCTGGATCATTTAGAAGCTGAGCTGCTTATCAGACTTTGTCAAATGATTACTCATGTTTAGTTGGGAGTAAAAAGAAGCATATAACACAGTCATCGAGTGCAGGGGAAAAAAGCAAAATAGACAGACAGAAGGGGAGAGGGAGGGGGGGGGGGGAGAGGGAGAGGAGAGGAGGTTTGAACTTATCAGTGATGCCCTCCAACCACCACAATAGGTAGCTGTCTTAGACATTTTGACTGCATATATACATGTATGCATATCTACATCCATCTTTCTTTCCAACACAAAAACACACTTGATCTCAAACATACACACTGGTTTACAAACAGACCCCCAACCCTAACTCTACCAGGTTTTAACAATCCTACTTTCTGTATGCCCCAACCTTTAGTTGAAAAATCAGAAGAAAAAATAAGTGACATAAGAAATTCTGCACAACTGTACAAGAGTGAACAGAACTTCATCCCCCTCCCCCAAACAAAGCATTGTGACCCCCAACCCGCTCTGCCTACCTCATATTTGAGCAACTCTTGTCGCAGTCCGTCCAGTTTCTGCGAGTTTTCCTCGATCTTTTTATCCAGCGTGCTGGGATCGCCAAGTGCAGGATTGCCGGCATACACATCCTTTAACTTGAGAATACCTTCCCTGAGGACAGGTGGCAACAAAAATTGATAAAAACACCTGTTGTTTTTGTTTTAGCAAAATTGTTACGCCACTTGCAACACAATTTGGTCATGCAAGTGCTGATGATTAGAGGTGATACAAGAGAGTAACGAACACAAAAAAAAGGAGGAAGAGAGAAAAGGACAATAGATGTTTGGTAGAGCGAGCAAACCACAACAGAGCATCCACCAACCACCCTGATACTACTTCAACTGATCGCCCAGGAAATATTTGGCCTACATTGGTAAAGACAATGAATATAGACCAACAGACGCTGAATTAATTAAGATTACCAAACAAGACATGATATGACAACAATATAGAAAGCTTAACACTTTGCCATCATATTTTGGGGGAACAAAGAAACTGGGTGGTAAACATCGCCAATCGGCGAGATGAGACGTCAAAGTAGTAACAACCACACTAATGCAGGTTACCACTGTGCAATGTTCTGTGCTCCAACTATATAAGGTCATATGAGCGCCAAGGAGTGGATGTCAACAAAGAAGTCCAAACGGGTAATCAGGCTTACTCTGCTCACCTCTCTAGCCTCAACAGCACAAAGTCTGCCTCGACTATCAAAGCACCCCAGAAATAGCAGTTCACAAGAGAGTGACAAATATACAAAAGAAGTTGAGGAAAAATGAAGATAGTAAGGATGATGAAAGAAAAAGCAGCAGCTCCCTGTTGCAGTTCAGGCACAGTTATTAGCATGAAATTGATGAATCATCCCATTTACAATTCTACTGTGCATAAGAACATGTTAATGTCCTCCCTTTGGGAATGGCCTAAAGACACTTCAGTCAGTAGCATCGCCCCAGGGGGTTTATTGCTCTATGTAAGACTCCGCCCAAAATGCCATTTTCAAATGGGACGTGTGATGGAGTCTTACATTGAACAGAGGATACTTTTTATTTTTGGCCTATGACAACGATGAATGACGGCGATGATCTGAACCCAAGCACTGACCTTTCCGAGTGCTCCTTGGCCATCTCCTTTTTAATGCTGTCAATCTTCTGCTGTAGTTTCCTCCTCCTCTGGTTGGGGGGCAAGTCGCTGAAGTCCTCCTTCTGCTCATCCACCTACAGGGTGCACAGAGGAAAAGAACACACACACAACTGTAGGACATGTCGCCTCAGGAACCAAGAACGAGACAGGGAGGGGCTCGTTTGTAAGAGATACAGAGGTGCATAATAGCAATAATGTAAAAAAAAAAAAAATTAGGGGTGTAGTTGTAACATATGCTAGTGATGGCCATATATTTTGTGTAATTAGTTATTTGAGGAAAGGGAAGCAAAACATTTCAATAAAAAAATTGGTGTTTGTACATCCATACTCGGAAATGGAAAAGGCGGGGACATCATGGAAACAGCTAGAAAAGGATGCACAGGACAGGCTTCGATGGAGAAATGTTGTTGATGGCCTATGCTGCACTGGCAGTTAAAAAGGGCAAGAATGAGAGAGAGAGATCAACACTGACACAATTTAGATCATTTAGAAGATGAGCTTCGACTCTGTCTGTCATAGATAAAACATCCCAGCAGAATGGGCGAGATACGGGATACAAATTTCTCCACTCAGGAACTGAACCCAAGTCCTCTGTGTGTGATAGCACAAAGCTCCTAACTGCAATATCACAGACGCCAGTACAAGGGAAGTAGGCCTATATTGAACACAATAATGCCCGTTTCACTCTGAGAACAAACAACAAATAACTCAGAATAAAAAACTTCTTTAAAACGGAACAAAAGACAAGTGAGTCAATGGTCTTCCCTGAACATCAGGAGAAAAGGGGAGAGCATTTCTGGGCCATTTGTGGGAAGGACAAAGCCTAATAATTCAGACAGGAACAAATTGGTTTTTGAAAAAGCAGCAGCCTTGGCCTACCTTACTCCTGTGGGGAAAAAAACACTTTAAAAAAGGGCAAAACATGTCTAAAGGAAAGAACCATGACAGACTTTCATATTCTGAGCCACAGTTCAATTGTTTAAATAGACAGCTCAACAACAAAATAAGTCTACAGAAGTAAAGAAAGCAAAATAGAAAACGTTAGTACATGAATTGAGCGAATTGACAGGGAGATGACATCCTGTGTATCAACGTGTCTAATAATACATCACGACAGGTGCCCAAAGTAATCAGGTCAGGGAAGTTTAAACTCCTACCTTACAGCTTTATTCCAAAAATTGAAGACTGAACCCAATTTACTTCTTTTTACCACAGACCTGTCCCTAAAGTAACAAGATAGAAAAGCCCCCTCTTCGTTTATCAAATTAAAACAACAGATTACAAAGATACTATCACAATATCAATTTAATGGTGAAAATCTACATGTTTGACTCAAAATCAGAGACATGTAGATCTATAGCAACTTACGATAACAACAATGAAAGCATCAGAGTCAAACTTTTGCATAAAGACATAACAAGTGTATCTGGAAACATCTTACAAACTTTGCATATAATACAAAAGAACTTGTAGTCATAATGAAAATATCAATATCAAACACTGAGTTACAAAGAAAAAAATGGATATGATAACTGTCATTATCCTAATGCTTGGCAAATGCAAGGTAGACAGACAACCAACAGAGGTGAAAGATAAAGAGTCAGGACCTGCCAACCAACGACACCCTCCAGCCACCCACCACTGAACTGGTGAAAGACTACACAAAACTTGTCACAAAATAATGGAACAGCAAAGTTATGAAAAAGTACAAAGAACTCATAGCAACAACATGAGTATCTCTATCAAAGTCTCCCCTAAAACACATCGTACACATTGCCACGATTTGAGCATTACTATTTGCAGCATAGAGGGAGCCAGTCTTGTTTCTTTTGACCACCTATTCCTATCAGAAGTTTGAATAAAGAGACGCACATCTACAAAATGGTCATTTTGGGTGGTAGGGGAAGAACAAGATTGACAAGATAGAAACAACAGGGGGAGGGGGGAAGGATTAAGTTCTGATACAGTAACCCCCCACCCCTGTATATCCACCCACTGTTCACTGTGAATGTAGAGGATAAAACACACGCTGGTTAACTACATTGTACAAAAGGGGCAGAGAAATCAAATAATTCAAATGCACAGGTAGGGTGTGGGGACAGGGGGGTTGAATGGGGAGAGTGTGAACAGGGAACAGGAGATGGAAACATTCACGGTTGTGAATGAGGTTCAACAGCAAAACAGGTCCAGTAAACCAAAAACTTCTCTAAAACTCAAACTTGGAAGAAAAACAGACTCAAACTCGGGAAGAAACATAGTCCAACTATATACATAGCAATCACCAATATCTATAGAGGAGGTGCACTTAAATCATAAAGACCCTGACATAAATAAGCTTAATATATATTTTTTTAAAATAGATACGGCTACTATAAAGCTCCAAGACCAAAGATCTCAAAGACTAAAAATAGGAATTCTATGAATATGATTATTTTCATAGAGAGAGAGCAAGGGGGAGGGGAGAGAGAGAGAGAGAGAGAGAGAGAGAGAGAGAGAGAGAGAGAGAGAGAGAGAGAGAGAGAGAGGGAGAGGGAGGGAGGGAGGGAGGGAGGGAGGGAGGGAGGGAGAAAGAGAGAGAGAGAGAGAGAGAGAGGGGGAGAGAGAGAGAGGAGAGAGAGAGGGAGAGAGAGAGAGAGAGAAGGAGAGTGAGCTTAGAGTGTAACACCTGTAAGACAGCAAATGTTGCAAGTTTGCCAAACAGTGAGTCTGCTCAGGTGTCAGAGTGGGGCTGTCTCCCATCAACTCTCAGGTAAAATCCCCAGTGGCAGATACCAGACGCACAAACAGATGTTTTCCTGTGAGTGTGTTTGTGTGTATGTATGTGTATGTGTAAGTGTGTATGCATGCCTGTGTGTATAAAAAGGCAGAACGCATGCAGGAGTCAGAGGGGGGAGGGGGGAGGAGAGAGAGTGCGAGAGAGAGAGAGAGAGAGAGAGAAATGAAGAAAGAAACAAAGGAGGCAGGGAGGAAAAAAAGGAGAAAGAAAAAGGCAGTGAGAAAGTAAGAAAAGAGTAAGAGAGGGACAAAGGAAGTACAAAGGGAAAGAAAGAGTGAGAGAAGAAAGAAAAGAAAAAGAGAGGGAGAGATGAAGGGAAGGACAATGGGAATAGAAAAAGCGAAAGAGAGGAAGCACGTCAATTTCATGTATAAGGTCAAGATAGATTTTTCTAGACATCAGAGGAAGGTCAAAGATTAGCCCTATCAGTACCAGTGGCATCCTCAACTCCATCTTATCTCAGATATGAACACCCCCCCCCCCCACCCCAATACGACAAACAAACTCCAAAATCCCAAACTTCCAGCTACTGGATGTATTATTCACAGCCTGAAGGGGTCCATATTCATTTATTCATTAGTGAGTCGAACAGTCCATTGTATGTTGTTTGTCCCATGTCAGCATAATAATAAACCCAGCAAACATAATTATAAGGGCACATCATCAGGATAGCAGGAACAATAGAGACAAGCTGAAGGACCTGAACACACCAAAATGCTCATCAACCATCTGCCATCTCCCACCCCCCTCCCCCCCCACCTGAAAATTAACAAAGACATTCCTCATTCTTTAATACAGCCTTCTACCAACAAGCACGATTTTTAACCAAATATCGTTCTGACACGAGTGTTTAAGGGGAAAGCGGTTATCTGCTGAACCATCAAATGAGAAGAGAAAGAAAGAGGAGTAGGAGAATGCACTAGCTTATTCATTTCGGTGCAATAAACCATTTCAAAGGGATCCATTATTCCATAAAAGGCTGGCATATCCATATTATGTACATCAACACCACAAACGACAGCGGTGTTTGATCACCCCCAAGGCAATCTTGCGGAATGACAGGAACTGTGTTTCATTAGTTTAGTTTAGAGTAAAGAGAAGCCTGTCCTCCAAATAAATAAGTCATTTAGGCATAAGAAAAAGCAAGATGGGGATACACAGGGGAAAAAAAAAGAAAGGAAACTTAAGGGGCAAGACCTACTTATGGCTCCCCCAACCACCTGCCAGTTAAACCATGCTGATCATTCTTCAAGGTTTAAAAGAAAGACAGTCAAAAAATTAAGGTTAGGAAAAGCTTATAAAAAGAGAAAAATAGACAATTATGCGGCAATAAATAATAGACAAGAGAGGACAAAAGTAGAACCCGTCTAAAGTACTCTCCAACCACCTGCTCATTACACAAATAAATCAAATGAACAGCACCCACAAAATACCTATACATTATAGAAAAATAAAAATAATTTCAAGTCTACAAAAATATAAAGAAACAGGGTTAGTACTGACACATAATAATATTATGGGAAAAGAGATGCACCACGTGGTGGTGGTGGTGGGGGAGGGGGAGGGGCGCAGCGGCAGCGTGCGCAGGGATGACAACACACGTGTCTGTACTGTGGAAAGTACCCAAACTCTTAAACTCAGAGGACTAGGGCAGAAGGTCACACGGTCTAAATGACAAAGTCGTGTGCAAGTTCAGAGACGTCTTCAAGCACAAAATAAAGCTGTCATTTAGTTTGGGTGAATGTCTCTTTAAAATAGCAAAGCTGCATACAATATATGGAGCCATAAACACCATAAGGCAGGCTTCATGGTAAAACAAGTCCTGCAAAAGAACAGATACGCCTACGGTTTTTACTTACATCTCCTTAGCTACAAAGTAGCAGCTGGATGTTTCTGATTCAATCTCTTTCACAAAAAGCATGAGAGTCCATGATACTAAAGGCTAGTACCATTTCATTCCAAAATGGGAGACAAACATCCCTCTCCCCCCACGCCCACTACCAATGTAGGCAATTATTTTTTTGAGTAAGCTGAGCTAGCAAGTATAGCCTCTGATACCTTCAGAACGTCTCTTAAACCACAAGCGTTTAAACAGTATAATACTAGAATTCATCCCAATCAAAATTACTGCTATCACTATTATCTGGCCATTTTCAATCACATCGCATCACCTTCTGCCCATTTCCTCTTTTCTCTCACGTGCATGGAAACGTCTAAACCCAGAAAGAACCTCTATAGAAAACAGCTTAGTGACCCAAAAAACCAGAGGTGTGTGTCTACTCAAAGTGCAGGGAAACTCACATTTCTGCAGGTCTGTCAAGCACAAACAGTGTGAAGAAATAGGTGAGTACAACATCGTACACTTCTGCTTGTCTCATAACCCATCAAAGGGAAATTAATACAAGCGTGACCAAACTAGCAACAATCTAAATCTTAAGTGTAATCATATGACATTGCAAAGAAATGACCACTTCAACATTGTGAGACCATTTTACACAACAGATTCACTGAAAAACGAAGTGATGTGTTGCTTCAAGTGGCCGCTACCATTTCAACAGAGACTCGCAAAATACTACAGTACACATCTACTTTTTAACTATGACAGAATCCATGCTTAAAGACCATAACATGAGCTAACAATAGCACAGCATGGTTAACCACAAACTTGTTAGTCAGGAGGGCACAAGAGACGTATGTGTCCTTCATGCAGGCAAGAGACCGTGACAACAGCTTCATATTAATAGAGAAACATCCAGATATTAACACATATGCACAACACTCAGTGTCTATGTAGACGTATGCACAACACTCAGTGTCTATCATAGTCTATGTAGACGTATGCACAACACTCAGCATCTATCATAGTCTATGTAGACGTATGCACAACACTCAGCGTCTATCATAGTCTATGTAGACGTATGCACAACACTCAGCGTCTATCATAGTCTATGTAGACGTATGCACAACACTCAGCGTCTATGTAGCTCATCACAAGCAGCCAGATCGCTCTTCTCTTGATCTCTTGATCGGTGATGTCATCACTCTGAGCCAGTCACATCTACTTTTAACTCCCACTCCCTCCTTGTCACACACCAATTTTGTGAGACATATCCAAAAGTCAAATCATCCTACATTAAAACTTTGAAGCTTAATTCTTTTTCTTTCTTTTTTCGTGGGGGTGGGGGGAACTCAGATGGATAAATGACCCATGAGGAAAAAAATGAAATCTCCAATTAAAGGCAGGTCTCCATAAATGGACTCAACATCAATGGAAAATATGATAAAAGTGCAAAGTAGTCCTAGTTTGTCATCCGTGCAGAAACCAGTGCTGATGTCTCAAAAAAATTATTTTTAAAAAACCTTTATCATGACTCAAATGATCTCACTTACTTAACATAGAACAAATTGAAAATATAACTTAGCCTCTTTACTTTAGGAAGTCTTAAAACCGAACCAACCCCCCTACCCCAACTAATTAGCATCATTTCCCTGTTATGTTAAGTTGCTGAACAATCAGAGGCACCCACCAACCACCCACACACAGAAAACCAAGAGAGGAGGGACTGCGTTCACAAGCACATGGTTTTTCCATACTATCCCATCTAAAACTTTGGTACCTCAGTTAAAGAAACAAAAAAAAAGCACAGTACCATCTATCTCACAATGGTTTTCCTAGTGTGCTGGACAGACTTTACCAATAGACACATTTTAACAGAATGTCCGGCCTTTGGAGAGACCCGAAAGAAGTTTCTTTAATGCAAAAAATTGCAAGATCTGTTCTCCGCCGTTGATCCCAACAGAATTCTCGAATTTATAAAATTTCTAATGTTATTTTAAACTGAGAATCTTTAACTGTGAAATTTTAGCATTTAAAATCAAAATTAAATATTGACCAGAATCAAGCTGTGCTGCAAACTGTTGTGAATGTGAAAAAACTCATGTTTCGTGTACTTATACGACCGTATGCAGTTGCGAGCGCTGTAAAACTCGTATTAAACTAAAAAAAAAGTAAACTGACACAAATGTCTGTCAGCTCCAAGTTTAACAGCAGTAAACATGACTCTTGCAAAAAACACAACATATAAATAAACAAACCCCAAGGGTTTTAACCCTTCCAGCTCCATGTGCGTATATTTTCAGCAGCGTTTTTTACCTCCCACCATCCCAAGAGCGTATATTCTCAGTTTCGGGGGGTACCGAATTGGCGCATTTTTAGAAATTAACTAACCCAATTAAACTTTAATTTTCATGATATTTGTTCATTTATCTTTAAACATTTATCATGTTATCCTCTAAACCTCATCATAAAGATATTGCATCACTTTTAAGAATGTATGCCTCTTTTTATGAGATACTGCTGTATTGGCTGGGTCTGGGGTTAGGGAGTGCACAAAAATGGCTGGGGCTGGAAGGGTTAATACGATACATACTGGCACAATAATCAACAATCAATCAAGACTCATCGACATAAAGAAAGGTGATCGGCCTGCACCGTGATAGCACCACTACACAAAATGAGTTTAAATATGCCTATTCTATTCTAATGAAATTTTCTTAACCAGTTAGGGCAGCAAGATAAGAAAAATGGTGAAACGGTAAAGGTGTAACGCCCCCATAAACACTATAAGTTTATTTAAGAGGCAGGGCCTCCGAGTTAAACGTCCATCTCCGAAAAGACCGAGCCAAATGGGAAATTCGTGTAAAGTGCCTTTCCCAAGGACACAACGTCGGACCGAGCTGAGGCTCGAACCCCCGAACTTGCAATCTCAGGATTACAAGTCCGGTAGCCTAACCACTAGGCTACCGACGCCACAGCAAGTTAGATAAGAGCAGTTACCGAACCAAGAAATGTGTAGCACCTGGCTTGTTTCAGCATCACCAGCATTTCGACCATACGTGAATCCCTTCATTAAGTTAGAGGTTACAAAATAGTTCAGTAATTAGTAAAAACAATATTACTCAACATTAGGCAAACATTGTGCGTGCAATCAAAATTACAGAGAGCTTGAAATTCACAGCGACAAGAACATGGCCTCCAAAAGGATGCAAAAATTATAAAAAATTCTGAACCTCTGTCCCCCACCTTCTTTCACTACTCTTGAAGATGGTGGGAACTGCTCCAAGTTAGTAAGAAAAGAAAAAGGAAGTTGAAAAAACCCCCAATGACAACATGGAAAAGAAATACCATATTAAAATTTTTATAAAATCCCAGTAAAACACCATAAAGAAAAGTTGAAACATTGACAGTTTCTCAACAGCAGACTGTGAAGAGAAATGAGAGAGAAAAATAAAAAAACTATTAAAAAAACCCAAACCCCCAACACATCATCTATGTAGTTAACCATCCAGAGAAAGAGAGAGACCGTCATCACAGGAAACTGGGGCCATATCAATATTCAGTGAGCGAAACGTCATTTTCTTTGTAGGAGGAATATCCCACGACTCTTCTCTGCATCTCAGATAAGTTCACCAAGAAAGCTTCCATCAGCTCACTCATTATTCATACGGCCCTTGGAACATACATACACAGTGTTTACGTACAACATCGAACAATAAAGGGTGTACCGTAAGCAACCTACTTTCACGGGGGTACTCACTTTGCCCTACATTCACCACAAGCCAATCCCAGGCACAGGAGGAGACCGCGGAGGGATAAAAAAAAAAAGGCAGAAATTTGCAAAAAGTTATCAGTGCGCAAGGAAAAGCAACATCAAAGCCTATGTTAAAACTGGTCGAGAAAACTTCCTCAACTCACATATCGACCAATATTACGACCAACAAAAAAAGGCACAACAAACAACAGATAGTTAACTCTTTCAAAGCCAATCACAAACAACAGATAGTTAACTCTTTCAAAGCCAATCACAATACAACGATAAAATGTAACTCACTTTAAGCCAATCACAATACAATGTTAAAATGTAAGTCACTTTACGACAGCAAAACAACCTCGTTATATCATAAAACAGGTAAATAATACCAGCATAAAAACAGATGCAAAAAAAAACAAACCCTACTTGGCACAGAAAGGGTTAATACAATTTGTTTCAAACTATGACACAGTTGACTTTCTTCCAGTGACACACAACCGTGCACACAACAGGCATGTTCATCCGTACACAACAGAAAGATTTTGCTTTGTTGGGAGAAGCTGCAAAATTGTCGAATTAACTTAATTTGATGAGCAGGTCGAGATATTTCTCTTCATAAATAAAAAGGCAATATTTTTTCCTCCCAAACCATTCACATCAGGAACAAAAATGACTTAACAACTCTTTCTGAACATGACCCTGCAACAATCTAAAAAAAGAAACTCTCACATTGAGACTTAAACCCAGAAAAATTACAACCAAAAAGAATGATGGCATTTTAAAATATTACCCCTCACCCTCATTTTAAATAATTGCACACATAGGTATTCTAGAAACATCTCTTTTCACCAACTGGCAAGCATTACTATGACAGCAAAAAAAAAAAATACAAAGAGCTGTCCCCTACATCTGTACAAGCGGCAAAGACCAGTAGCATGGGTGCAAGTGAGGACAGTGTCTGTTGTGAGACAATGACACATCAGACATGTGACACTGTGTCAAAAAATTGACTCCTTCGTGAAAGACTGCGCCATACGCCATTTTGAAAAGTAAGACGGAGTCTTACACTGAGCAGTCAAAATAGTCACCTTCTCCGAGAAAAAAACAAACAAAAACACCCAGAGGCCTAAGTGAAAAGAACATGTTTCTCTTGCCTGTAAATTTGGAGTAATGAAATGTAAAATCACCCCTCAATAGAAAAAAATAAAATAATGGAAAGGTACCTCTAACCATATAAATATAGAAAACAACATAAAAAGCACACCGTTAAAGATAAAAGAAAAGACATCAAAAGACATTAACAAATATGTAAGAAAGAGTAACGATAGGATACGCTGAGAAAAAAAGTTGAACCCAACTATGATGGTGAGCATTTTTGCAGGGAAGATCAGAAACCCTCACCAGTGCTCTAAACCAAATGCAAGTCAAATAATGCACATGAGCCCGGACAAGTGAAACATCTACCACAATGCCAAAAACAAAACAAAACAAAAAACAAGCAAACGACTTGATAAGGGTGTGGCTGCATGAACAAACTGACTGGGGAACACAGTAAAGAGGCAAGCAAAACATCTGGGCCGAGGAGACGGCACTCGTTCTCTCTCTACTGGAGAATGCAAGGGTTACCTACCAACAGTCCGATTATCTAGAACATTTGATTCATCACCACGTGTGAAGAATGGAGAAGAAAGGAAAACCAAAAAAAAAATGAACTGAGTATATTGAACAGGTGTTACGATGATGATAATAACGGCGTCGGTCAATACGCACGAAGGGATGACAATGAGAAAGAAAAAACCTCCCCAAATAAACATGACGATATACATAGCACAACCTTATTGACTATATGAACACACAGAATGGGAAAATCTCAAATGATCCCCCCCCCCCCACAAGAAACAACAACAACAAAAATTAAATAAATAAATAAAACCCAGGCAAATAAATAAAAAAACAACCTAATGAATATATGAAAAAAAAACCCAGAGACAAAACTAAATCAACGTAAACGTACGTAGAAGAAAACCACACTTAACAACGATATCCATAAGAATGATGGCATGAGCAGAATCATAACCAGTATCTGATAAACTAAATAAAACGATTAACTCATATCAAACTTGTACTGAAATCGACACACCACAATGATGAAACTGTCAGTGTCCAATGCTAACTATATCATCTCTAAATCCTCTATGCCCATACAATTTAAAGATCTTCATTGGACACTGACGAAATGCAACAAATGAAATGTCCACAGATGTAAATAGCATCTTCAAAATAAAGCTCAAGTCACTTTAACTTACATAAAAATTCTCAAACACCATTAAAAGTCATTTTTATAATATGCTTACACGGGCTTCAGCACGGTAATAATCACTATCAAGTAGCGAAATGAGTATACTTTTAGATGGTGGTAAGCAAAAACAATTAAAGTAAATGTGATCCAAAAACACAATTTAATTTTACACTATTTAGCAACATGGTCCTCGCGTGACTTAAGCCGTACCCTGACAGAATGCAACATACAACGTAATCAACCATGACAATGACATGAAAAGATTGGCTATATGACATGAAGGTATGACACTGATGAAACAAAGCATAATCATGATCGATATATGAGTACTCAGATCTAAAGAAAACTAAAATTAAAATATTTGCACTAGAATCTATAATCCCTTCCCTGCATGACACACTACACCTGAACCGCTACATCTAAGGTTCTAATGTCAGCATCAACGCAATGCACAAATCAATGCAGAACTAAGTAAGGGCTGCCAGGGAATAGGGACAAAGCCTTGAGGGACTTCTCATCTTTTCACTAAAATATATCAGCCTCAATGCACAGGCATCCAGTTGCAGTAGTTTCTTGCATTGTTATAACAGTCCATGCTTTTCATCATCTTTGAAGACAACTCCCGGAGCAGTATTGGTGACACCAAGATCAAATTCTCTATGATTTTTCACTTGAGTCTTAACTTTTTGAAGACTAAGATAATAACTGCTGTACTTTCCGTCACTGGGGTAGCATTCAAAAACTAAACACAACTGAGAATAAAGGTGCTTCCTTGTTAGTACCAAGTTGTTTAGATATACACGAGGCATGACGACTGGCAAGAAGGAAGGTGTGGCAAATCCCAAGAGAAGCAAAAAACAGAACGGTAAGCAGCAAGCCTTGTCAATCAACTGATGCGTGTGTGACAAACGCTACAGGGTGGAAATCAGTTTGTTCTACGACTGATACGACTCAAAGGCTTACCCTAAGTTTTGAATTCTTACGAGCAACAGACGCCTTACGGAGGAGAGTAAGAAAGAAAATTTAAATATGCAAACACTTTGAAATAATGAAAACTGCAGACAATTGAAATGGGGTAGGACTGGTGTCCAGCATCAGGTTTTACATCTGAAGATTTTTTAAAAATCTGACTTTGAGCAACAACAATACAGAACTTGCAAGTCTTTTTGTCTTAACCAGCAGCTGTTCTCTGTCACCTAAAACAAGTCACACATTTCATCTTTACCTTTGTTCTATACTTTAAGTCTTACTTCCGAACTTGTCTGTTTTCATTACTTTATTAATGACTGTTTTCTAAGACACGAAAATTTGTGACTTTGACACTTTTCCAGTTTACAAGATTCTGTCTTAACAGCACACACTATATGTGTACAAGTACCAGGCTTAGCCACTGGGTTACAATCTGACTGCAGAAACAACAAAAACCAAAAAAAGGTTATTCTAATTTCACTGGTCTATTTGCAAGGGTTAGCAAAAATCTACACAAGGCAATAAGCCAAAAAACATTTAGATATATTACCAGGCTAAAACCCTCTGAAAATCTTAAAACTAGTACTTCTGTGGCAGAAGAATCAAAATACTTTCGATTAGTAGTAAAAAAAAAAAAAAAAAAGATAAAATCTGCTCCGACATTTGAAAAATGTGTACGGCCCTCACCTTGGATGAGCCAAAGATGCCGAAAAGGCCTCCCCTCTTCTTGCCCTTGCCCCCGCTGACGGTGGCATTCTTCACCGAGTTGGCTGGCGCCGGGATGCGTGGGGTCTGGTTGTTGGAGGGTTCTATGGACTGGCCTGTGCTTAGATCCTCGAATGGCACGTCTTCAGGCATGGCAAAGCCAGACTTGTACCGTTCTATAACCAGTTTACTGTCCTGTACACATGATATAAATAGAGGGGATTTGTGAGTCTGGGTGTGAAAAAAAGTGGAGGGGAAGGTGGTGGTGGTGGGTCGAGGGAGGAAAGACAAATTAAACTGGATTATATTTTAAAAATATAAACAATACTCAACAACTGTAGAGCACAGGAGGGTTCTTAGAAAAAACAATACAATAAGATGACAGAAATTTTCGGGCTCTCAAGATCTTGTTATAGATCTTGCTTATTTCAATAAATTTTAATGACAAGCATGCACAGCACTCAAATAACACGTGATGGACACAGGGCTTGTAACTTCATAGATTTTTAGCCTCTCACTGTTACTGACAAACCTCATCCACAAAACATGCCCCTTTCCCCTCTATGTCTACTCTATCATTCCACTCCCTGAGTTGCATTCAGAGGGATGGGTTGGGGAGAGGAGAGAAGAAAAACAACCCAGAATCTTAAAATATAAAAGTCAGTAACGTAAAGTTTATTTCAAAGTAGCACACTTCTCAAATCTATCATTCAAGCACACTTCTCAAATCTATCATTCAATGGGATTTTGAAACAAAAAAACATTTTTTCTTAACCATAAAACAATGAAGAGAGATGACCTGGACCTTTCAGAATTACCTTGACTTTTTTCAACCTGGCAGAGTTCTGAAAGAGATTGGTTTCACATTACTTCTCTCCCCCCCCCCCCCCCAGTGTAGAAATGCACAAAAATTATCCCAGGAGGATACAGAGGCTGGAATACCAACAATGTCAGAACTATCAAGTAAATCTGTTGGGTTTTTTTTTTGGTGTGGATTTTGATCGACTTGGTTTCACCCCCAAAAAAAATAAAAAATCCTCATCTGCAACATGCATGAGCAAGTACACAAGAAATGACCTAAGAGCGATACAAACGCTGTAGTGCCAGCAATGGTGGGAAAATGTAATATATCTTCAGGGGTAAACATATCTCTCTGAACACGCACACATCCCTATGTAAACGTCTACGTATGAGTATCTTAATGCACATGCATTTCTAGGCGTACAATCATTTCTATGTGCACACATCTCAATGTACACGTATTTCCAAGCTTACAGCTGCTGTGTTGATGCTGCCGGCGGCCTTGGCGATGCCCTCTATACAGGTGTTGATGATGGGGACCACGTTCTTCTCGATTTCAGCACACTGCAGCACACACTCTTGGAGTTTGTGTATCCGACGTTCGTCCATGTCTTGTAATTGCTGTCAAGATCACAAACATGAGACGACGTAAGGCATTTTTCAACTCATCATCTTGCATTAGGAAAGTCATCACAATGACCATATCCCCATAGTAATCAGATTGCGACAAGAGGGGGGGCAAGATTGGGGGGTGGGGGGGGGAATTGCGGTCAAGTGCTTGTTGATAGCAAGCAACCAAGATGTCGAATGTCGACCAATGAATAAAAAATTAAATCAGTTTTGAGTAAAGAGAAGCACATCATCACATAAATGGTCATTAAGGGAAGGAGGAGAGCAAGACTGGCTTTTAAAATTAAAGGTCAACAGCCAAACTATAAGACTACTGAATGGATTTCTTTTCTTTTTTAATCCTTCTTTTTAAAGTTTAAATAGACCACAAACAGGTGTGTCAAATCAAAGATAGTACAAGACAAGATGGGCCACTCAGCCTAAAAAGTGTCCGCAGGAAGTATGCTCTTTGCTTCAGATGGCACTGCAGTCTGTTTTGAAGCTCTCTTTCGTTTTTCCAAAAGAAGAATAGGAATAGCACCTCCTTGCGTGCGCAGATCGACTGCTGTTCATCAGCAGTTCGGGTACGTTCAGTGCGGAGTTTTAGGTTTTTTTTTTATTTTAATGACCTCTCGCCCTTCATTCTAAAGTCAAATTAAACGAAGAAAACCATCTCCTTTTCCTCCGGAAGAGGTTTTTTGTCAGCGTAACCATTTTTAAAAAGCGTTCTTCCGAAATTTATCCCAAAACTTGCTAGTTTCACTTTGATTTTTAAAAACTCAAGTAGGGTAACTCTGTTCGCAAAGAGTGCGCTTTTGTGAAGAGGGCGCCACCAAATTTTGAGGACACTTTTTTAATTGGCTCAAAGAGAGAAGTGGCCCATCTTGTTATGTACTATCATTGGTCAAATAGACCCAAAAAAAGTTGGACAGACAATACATGGCATTGAGCATGGAATCATTTAGACCCGTTAGGAAAAAATCCTCTCACCACTGACAAACTTAAAGAATCAGAAGACTGGCAAAAGCCACATATACTAATCACAAGTAAAGGGGCTGAGAGAGAAACACTCCTTTTTTTCTTTGTACATGCAAGTGCTTGAGTTCCCATTGACACAATTTAAATCATTAACTAGGTTGGCTTCAACACTGCCTAGTAACACTTAAAAAAGACGGAGTGGGCAGAGCACAGGATAACAGAGCACAGGATAACAGTCTCCCTCAGGCAAAGACGTGAGCCGTACCTGGAACACTTGTGGCATGGTCTGTGAGTAGAATTCTGTCTGGTGGTTGTTGTGGGTCTGGAGCTGGGCTGCGTACTCGTTCTTACACTCTTCGCACTGTTGTACCTTGCCGTTCATTACCACGCGATGCTGCGTACAGCCCAGGGATTGGGGTGTTGGGGGAGAGGGGTAAGAGAAAGAAGAACAGTATAGTGAGATAAAGAATGTACACGATTCAGTTGTCAGAGACACTAAACTGGCACATCATAGAACTCATATATTTTTGTTTTGGTAAGTATTTTACAGCACTCGCAACTGCATAATGAGCGTGTGGGACACACTAAACATTTTCAGTTTGGTAGGAATTAATTTTGAATTTTGCCGAGGTGGAAGCCAAAGCCTACCCGTATCCATTTTGGACCACCAAGGGATCTTTAACGTACGAGATATTTTGCCCTTATCTGAGAAGGCTAGGTGTTACATCTTATCTACTCTTAGATCAGGGTGTGGCTGAAAGACAGCAGTAAGAAGGAGCCAAAGAATGGATTTTCTGAGCAGTCACACAAATAGTTAGAATGCAGACCCGATTTCTTTTTACTCTGCATTACGGGCAGACGTAGATATACTCTTGGTGTTAAAGAAGGCAGTTCGAAGAGTACTTGAATTCTATTGTGGAACACCAGCACAGAGTTACAATCACAAGGGGCATTTTTCAACTCATATGTGGAACCCCCCCAACCAAACCACATTCACAAAACTGCCACACTTGGCCTACTTGTAACTATTTAGGCCAGAGGGACAGGGAAGTTAGAAGTGGCTCCGTCAAGGGATAACTTGGACTCAACAAGTGGTCTCCATTTCCAGTCCGCAGTACAATATGTCCAGATCAACAACACACAGAGAAGAATCCTTGCGTAAGCCTCAAAAGCAAGAAGCCAACCATCAGGTTCTCGTGATAAATGACTTGACGTTAAACATCTTCAATGACACCATTTACGTCATTTAAGAAGCGAGCTTTTCGATCCTTCCTTTTTTTCTTAGTTTTAGCAAGGAGTTTTATGGCACTAGCAATACAAATAGGTCGTATAAGTGCTGTGAACTCTACAGAACACATTTCCCTGTATGGGAAACAAATTCATGTTTTTCACAGGCGGGGTGGGGAGCCTATCCCACAGACAACAGTCCACTCTCAGTTATTGAAAAAGCCGATCTGTGAGTGCACTCAAATTATTAAGTTACCAGCTCAGAAATGAATATCTCTTGTTCAAATGTTACTTTGCAGGTCTTAACATTGAAGCACTAGGTGTTAAGGCTGTCCACAGGGCATAGAACAAACCTAAGGGTAAAACTAAGTTTAAAATTTTCCCAAAGACAGAACAAAGGTAGGAAAAAAATCTAGTACATGTTCCCATAAACCAAAGCTAGAGATAAAATAAATTAAGGTTTTTCAAAAAAAAGCTATGGAGAGAATCAGCTAAATGTCCCCCAAAACATCAAAGGTCTCCCAACAACAAATCTAGAGAAAAACAATCCTATAATTCCTCCTGGTGAACAAAAGGTAGGGAAAATCATTCAAATACTCTCCAACTGCATCTCAAGAGAGATATGTTCTGCCTTGTGCACTATGTAGCCTACAAAAGCTGACAAACGTTTGGGATTTTAGAATCCAGACCCGTGAGCAGAGGGCTTATAGGCCACTCTAGTGATAGTATACTGAGTAACGAAAGATTCACCTCCAGACACTAGCTAGCACAGGATTGTGCCTGTTATGAAAAGTTATATACGCATTTTTCTTTTTCTTTCTGAATACACATTTTTCTTTTCTGTCCATATACATATTTCTCTTTCTTTGTATGTATGTATGTAGTATAAGGTTTTACGGCGTGCGCAACTGCTAAGGTCATATGAGCGCGCGAAACACAAGTTGTTCACCTTCGCAAAAGTTCACGCCGCGACTGGTTAACTAATTGACTTTCAAATGCTAAAAAGCTTTTTCTTTCTCTGTATATATATTTCCTTCTCTTTCCATATACCTATTTCCATATGCCCTCTATTTCTTTTTCTTCCCTGGCTCCTTGGAATTTTCTTAACCATGTGTTGCTTTGGGAATGCAACTTCAAGAACTTGTTCTCAACAAATATCCAACCCTAACTTCATTTCCCTCAGCTATCTAACAGAGAACTGAAAAAAAAAAAAAAAGATTTTCTTCGGGGGGTCAAAACACAATGTACTGATTATATGTTACTGTTGTATTGTAAAGCACTCAGAACCTACATACTTTAATCGGGGTTGAGTGCTGTATAAACGCCGTATATTATTATTATTAAGTATGGAGCATAAGACATCAAGGGACATATCACTTAGGACAGCAAATCCCTCAGTATTCCACAACCAGAAAAACTGTTTCACCCACAGAAACTCAGGAGCGAGTTCCAGGACTTGGCGGACTTACCTTTTCCACTTCAGCTCGAGACAAGTTGATGTCAGCGTCTGCTTTTCTGTAGTTGTCGAGTGACCTCTCTGAATCATAATGAGCCTTTTCGTATTTACGTTTTGCCTGAGGACATAAGGCGGGGTGAGGTTAGTGTTCAGTTTTGGTAAGCGTTTTACGGCACTTGCAACACAATTTGGTCACATAAGCACCCAAAATTAGAGATGCTACTCGCAAGTGACTTTCAAAGAAAAGAAGGAGGAGAGATAAGGACGATGGATGTTTGAGGGGGAAAGAAAGAGCAAATCACATTCAGTGTGATAGACAGAGTCAAAAACAGTATACAACCTACACAAAAGTATGAACAAGGCATTAAACACCAGAAACCTTGCAAAGGCCCCTGTTTTAGTAAGTGTTTTACGGCACTTGCAACACAATGAGGTCATATAAGTGCCGAAGATTAGAGGTGTTACAAGAGAGTAACAAACACAAAAAAAGAAGGAGGGGAGATAGAGACAGTAGATTTTTTATGGGAAAGAAGGAGCAAACCACATCAGAACATCCACCAACCACCCACACAAAGGCTCCTGAATAAATATCACATAGCAGTAGCTCATGACAAGTCGGCCTGATAAAAGCCACATTTCACTAGGAACTGACTATGAGGATAGAAGTTTAGAGAAGAAAAAGTATCGGCCAATCACCATGGATACAAGGGACCCTTCTTTTAAAATGAAACTAAAAGAGCAGCATAGAACATATAAGGCACAAATAGAGGAACAGGACAAAGTGCACAGGCAGACAGTATAGTTTTTTTAGTATGAGTAAAGAGAAGTACATCACCGCTTTTAAACAATGCAGCACAGAGAAAAAGCAAGACGGAGAGACAGAAACAACAAAGGGAAAGTAAAGAAACAGAACTTAACCAGTGGCGCCCTTCATCTGGCCACAAGGACACGACACAGAACATACGCAGACACACAGGGAGCAACACCACATAAAAACATAAGCAGAAGGTCATGTGTGCCTACGTTTTAGCTGTGTAGCCTCTTCTCTCTCCGACAATAGTTGTTCATTTTTAGGAAGTGTTTTACGGCACTTGCAACACAATAAGGTCATATAAGTGCCGAAGATTAGAGGTGTTACAAGAGAGTGTAACAACCACAAAAAACAAGGAAGGGAGATCAAGACGATAGATGTTTGATAGGAAAAAAGAAGCAAACCACACCAGAGCACCTGCCAACCACCCACACAAGGACATGACACAGAACATATGCAGGTACACAGGGAGCAACACCACATAAAAAAATAAGCAGAAGGTCATGTGTGCATATGTTTAGTTATGTAGCCTCTTCTCTCATCGACAAAGGGTGGTTGTCTTAGACAAGTTCAACTGTACATACACAAACACAACATACACACACACACACACACACACAAACACACAAAAAGAGCCTCAGCAAGCGAGGTATAAGCACTGCTGACTCCTCACCTTATCCAATGTCTGACTAGATTGACGCAGCTGTTCTTGCAACCGGGCTCCATCTTGCAAATACTGTCAGGGAGAGAGAGAGATGATAGGGGAGGGGGTTCGGTGGAACAATATAGACACCACAGTTGAACATAAATCAATGAACATAAAGCTATATTACACTACAAGGATCTAACCACTGTTCCCAACTATAATTACATACTTTTATTTCTTTTTTTATGTAAGTGATTTTTACGCCCCTTCCACACATTTTAAATCATTTCGAATGCTGGCTTCGACCCAGCCTGTCAGGACCACATCGTCCAAGCAGAAAGACTGCAATATTTTATTAAAAATTCTTTTCACACAGGAATCGAACTCTAGTCTTCTGCGTGCGACAATGAAGGGCCTATCTTCGACAATATAGTCGCCTGTATTACACATTTTATTACACTCTATTATCACCGAGGTTAAAAAAAGCCCCCC